GGCTAAGGTGAGGGTGGGGGCATGAGGGGAGAGGAGAAGATGACAGTGGCAGGCATACCATTAGCTCATGGGCTGTACACTAACCCTTCAGGGGCTACCAGTTGGTCAGCCATGAATTAGTTCATTGATAGCGAAAGAATCAAGTAGTTGAAACAATATTCTCCCCTAGATCCTAGTCTAAATGACTTGCATAAAGCTTAAGAACTCTGTAGTTCTGCCACTACTAGGTTAACATCCATTTGTCAATTCTTTTAGACCAGTGACTCTCAACCAGGGTGTCACAAGATCCTTTTAATGGTGTTGCAGGGTGTCACACAATATTAGCACTGCTAGGTATACAAGCACCTATACAAGATTAACTCAGGGTTTTCAAATATGAATAAATGAATACACAGTGTCAAAAACAAACATGCTGCCCTGCTATGGCCTGAGTTCTTTGTAATAGAATTACTTATTATTTTTCTATAGTCAAAAGAGTGAAAGCTACATGCTAACATTTTCCAAAGGAAGGCTCAAGTCTATAAAGGTTGAGAACTACAGTTTAAGACCACACATTTCAAATAAGGAAGTCAATTGCCCCATTTTATGTTTTGATGCTATTTTTCCCTGGAAGCAGTAACTAATGGTGCTCTTACCAAAAGCATGCAGAATCACACTGGCAGGTCTTCTTTAAAACTTATGTAATGTAATGTAGAGAGAGGTAGTTAGCTGTATTAATCTGAACTAAAACGGAAGGCTAAGGTGCCAGCATGCCACCTGCGCTGGCTGCCAGGCAGAAACTGTTGCTCAGCATGGGGAAAAGTGGCCCCGCCCTGCTGTTGCTGCCAGGCAGTGTTGGTACAGCTGCACAGAGCCTGTGCTATGCCAGGCTCCCCTGCATCTCTGCTGTGATCATTGCCACCTCTGGGTTGCCCAGCATGGCAGTGGTGACAGTGCAGAGCAGTCACAGGGAAGCCCAGCGTGACAAGATCTGGGGTGGCTATACCAAGAACTGCCTGGCAGCAGCAGTGGCGAGGGGACACTTTTCTCCTGTGTTGAGCAAGAGTTTCTGCCCAGCAGTTGCCACTGCTTAGCCTGGACGGGAGAGTCTGGAGCAGGCATGGGGTACGCTGGGTCAGGGCTGTGCACGTGGCTGGGGCAGTGGCAGCGGCAGCCAGAAGGAGCCGCCCCAGCTCCGCTGCATGCCCAGGTGGTGGCAAGGATGTGCCATGGCTAGGTGGTACAGAGCAGGCTGGGGCTGCATGTTGTCGATGGTGGAAGGGAAGCACCACAGAGGGTGTGGGCTCCAGGCTGTTGTGGGGCAGAGGTGGGTGCTATCTGGCTCAGGGGGGCATGCATGGGAGGCTCCCAAGCACACCCCATCATACTCTCAAAGTTTCCCGCACAAACCCCACAACCACACCCCTCCCCCACACACAAACACACACCCCACAAACACTGCACCCACCCACATCCTCCCTCACACCCCACAACCCCCCACCCCCACACACCTCTGGGGGAGTCCCATTCACCATTACATGCACACACTCCACCACACATACTCCCAGCCACCCTCTCCCTCCACACACCCCAGGGACTCCCACTCCTAGTTCCAAGATGGCAAACCCTCTTCCCAAATATAGTATTTGTGGGGGGCAAGGAGAGGGACTTCTGGTGGCAAAAGTTAGCAGCTAGAGGGTAGGACTTCTGGTCCTAAGATGGTAACAAGGGGGCAGGGTGCTTTGTCAAGGGGTGGGGCCACCTTTGCAACCTTCAACAGCTCATCAAAATTAATTAAGCAGCCCTCCAACCAAAATAATTGCCTGCCCCTGTGCTAGTAGAACCCTTATGTTCTTTTCAAAATCCTCAATGCATTTTTCCTGATCATTTTAAACTGTGAAATGCATAAACTGACTTCACAACATAATGAACTAAATGTTTCAACTTTAATATTCGGCATTATACCAAAAACAATAAACAGGTTTTTTAAACAAACAAAGTGTTATTTACTAAATCAAAACTCTTGTACAACAGTGCAGTATTATCTAAATATGTACATATGCCAACATCACACAGAACTCCAAAAATAAAAAACAAAACACTTTGCTACTGCATATACTTTAATAAAACAAAGACAAACTGTAGCAGTCTTTTTTTCCCCTCTTTATGACAAAAGTTATTCAACTTTCCAAGAGTATATGCAGGAGAGAGGAAGAGAAACCTTCTGCCACCTTTTGGTTGAGGTGGCAACAAGAAAACGAGCTTTGGACTTGCAGCTATACTACATATGTATATATATATATATATATATATACCCATACATGTTTCCAGTAGAGCACGTGGAATGTTTCTCAAACAAAGATCCTAATATAAAACATGAGATTTTGAAAAGTTTACTAGTGTTGTTTTTTTTTTTTTATATATATAGTAAAGTAACAAGCTTAAAGTTCAAGGCCTTCTCACATTTGACTGCAGACCTTGTAGTATAGACCCAGTAAAGTGAAAAGTATTTTAACTGGTTGCAAAAGATGCAACAGGGATACCTGTAGTGAGAATTTGACTAGGTTTCTTTACAAATGAATAATATACAGTAAAAAATGATTCTGCCTGCTGCTAGTGATAGAAAGAAAAAAAAAAAAAGATAGTGGGAGACAATGGGAAAAAAGAGGGGAAAAAAGTTAAATAAGTATCAAGAAAAGCCCCAAGGCATGTTTTGCTGCTCTATTCATCTTCAGAACAAAACTCTTGCCATTTTCTCTGAAGGCAAATGCCACATTGGAGTCATAATCCAAGACATCAGTCTAATCATTCTAATAAGTGTGGCTACCTTCCATTCGGTCTGTAAATTTCAGCAGATGGGAAAGGAGGTTAAAACCTTTATAAGCCAAAGCTTCAGACAAAGGGTGGAAATACTTAAGAGTCAGGTAAATGACCTTGAAGAAACCATTTTAATTAAAGAATGAGGTATTAGCAGCTCTCCAGCATAAGATCTGACATTCCTGCCTTTGGACTACAAAATAACCTCATTTTAGCAAAAAAATAAGCAGACAATAGAGGTGTCGCTACAAGCAGCAGCATCTCCCATTTTGTAATATGGGAAATATTTACAATTACAGATAGAATTATTTAACTTCTGGTGACCCAAACTCGCTTTACTTTCCAAATTGCCATAACTTCACAAAGAACTATTTTTGAAAAGGCAAGTCAGTGTTCCAAAGCTTTGATAAAAGCTTGATTTGCTCTAAGGCAGATTTCTACTTGACTTGGACTTAGGACTACTACACAATTACTGTATATAACCTAGTGGAGATGCAAACAGGCTTTTGACATCAAATGCACAGAAAAATACCAGTAGCTAGCAAAGTTTGATGAGCATGTTTGCACCCAATCTTGGATGCAATCTCCAGAACAGATTCCTCCGTAAAATACCTATTCATACCAAGTTTAAAATATTTCACCCCCTTAGTTTTCTTCTCTTCAGAACAAAATTGCCCTGGAAAGTTTTACAGTAATTCTTGCCATCTTAATTTGTAGGCAAGTACAGTGGGATGATAAACATGGCCCAACTAAAATTCTGTTGTTATAACAACCAAAACTGAATGCACTTCCCAGAACTTGCTCCAGTTGCTCATAAAAAAAAAATCAAACCACTATAAAGCTCTATTTAACCCAACTAACAGACGTTACGCTTTGTTAAGAAAGGGTTAAATAATAACAGGGATATAGAAAATATTTTGAGAACATTTTAGCCTTATATTGAGAAGCAAACATATCCAGAAGTTCAAAGAGGCGGCATACTATCAGAGCGTGTAAGGTGTAGTTGACAGTGCTTTTTGGAAAAAACCTTAATTTGTGAATATCCTGCCTTTTTAGCATTTAAATTCTCTGGAGTTCAACTTTTCCTGCAAAAACTATAGAAATGCTCGTTTCCCATTCACAGTTAAGAAACAAAGTAATACATTGATAACCAATGTGACACCTCTTAACAAAGAACACAGTTCAATTAGGAATCTGAAGAAGAAATTACAGCAAAGAAGTCCTAGTGCTGGTACCAAAGCATTCTTCCTGTGGATAATTAGTGGTAAGACTTTTATGTTAAAAAGGAGAATGACTAAGTTACCAGAAATGGAAATGGGGGTCATATAAAAGAATTAGCGTAACAAGTTTTCAACATGTTACAGGAGCTAGATTCAATAAGAATAATGACCAAGTGAACCAAGTGAAGACACTATAGAGAAAAATGAGAAATAACGTTAAACACAGAAAAGCATAATGTGAATTTAGCAATCAAGCCTACAAAAACAGAGTTAGAAATTACTATTTTAGAAGACATTGAAGAGTATTTCAAGTGACATTATTAAAAGCTTAGGGTGCACTTAAGTTGATAAGGATGATGCTAATGAAGCGGATTCCTTCCTATATCACACAACAGTTTCAAACCACAGTTTGTGCGGAAATTAAAGACAAAAATATAAATATATAATAATGACTTTAAAGACATCCAACAGACCCACAAACTCATTCTAGAAGTAAGACATGGACAACAGCTTCAATAAAAAAGCATGGATGACGACCAGACCTTAAAAAGTAGAAAAATTCTCTCATATTAAATTTAGATTGATCGATTACAGAGATGATGTGCACAACTACTAGAAACTATTTTTAATTAATCTTTAAAAAAGGAAAATAAGGTAGAAAATGACAGGATCTCAGATGCATAACAGATTTTCAATGCTTAATAAATTAACTATCAAAAAAAGCCTTTCTGCTCTATAAGAAATCAAACTTGTACTGAAAGTTTCTGAAATCAATTTGCTTGCGTCTAATTCATCTGGACAAAACAATTAATAATAAAGATTTAGTTTTGATCGGTGACATTTTATTATATAGAAAGTCTGTTGATCCTCAGTCATCGCAGTAGACTTGGGGCTTATTTGTGAAATTATGAGGCTGTCCCCAAAATTTAAGCACACAGGTCATCTCAGTAAGTCTAATGTATTTGGATTGGCTGGGGGGGGGGGGGGGGGGAGGCAGAGGGGGAGGAAGAAACTATTCTTCTCTCCAAACCCATCATTGTTCCCCTTTTGAAGATGTCCAACAAACATGCACAGACCACAGCATCATTTTCCTCACTTCTACTTCTTAAAAATAAGAACCGCTCCAAGGTGTTAAAAACTAATATCCAATGCAAAGCTCCTAAGCTATTATTTTATTGTTCCTCCTTACATTCTATGGCTATATCAAGTAGTTAAGGCTTATGGGAATAATCAAAGTCTTGGTAAGAAAATAAGAGAAACGTGCTAGAGTTAAAAACACTAGCTCCATTAGCTGAAACCACCATCATCAGCTGGAACACCAAAGGGCAAGTTTTGTAACCACTCTTATTTAGTATTTATGAAAATGACGTGGGTGACAGTCATAGCCAAGATATTTGCACATAACAGTGAAATCAATGACATGATGAATATAAGAACAGAAACAGATTCAGAGGGAGTACTAGACAGTCATGGTAGAGTAGTATAGTGTACACGAGACACATGACAATCTAGAGAACCTACACATTGAAATAGAAAATACATATTAAATTAAACAATTACATCTATAGCGCCATGTATATTACAGAAATAGGTTCCATTAAAACAAGGCAAAGAATGCTGGGATTCATCAAAAGAAATATAATATAAAATCAAAAGTAGAAATGACTTGTAAAAGATGCATTGATCATATCTAAAAAGCTGCCTTCAGTTATTGTTACCTTTTTTATATTTAAATTGCATACATTAAGTCTCATGTGCTAGAAAGTAGATCAAGGGTAACCAGAACAAGGGACTAATGAAAGAGAGACTAACGGAAAAAAGACTGACAATTATGAATAGGCCTGATTAAGGGAAATGAGAAACTATTTTTTTTAATGGAAGGGTTAAAAATGGAAAGAACCCAACAACTTAAAATTAGAAAAAAGGCAGGAGATGCTTGCTTAAGGCAGAAGAGTTTAGTTTAAGAATAGTAAACAAAACCATTTGCTACACAAGGCCACCAGAGTCAAAATAAAGTCCTGAAATTTGTTGAGCTGAGTCATTTTCTTGTCCACAACTTTTAATGTCCTAAATAACTGCAAGAGACCAGAATGATGTAGTGTAAGCAGTGTTTTGTGTTCCAGTTTAAAAACTCCATTCATTCCCCTCCAAACTTGTTTTATCTGTCTTTGATGTTATCTCCACCAATGCACATAGGATACAGGTCAGAATCCAAGTTACCCAAAGCCAGCATGGAAAAAATAAATGATGTACTCTTAAATCTTAAGATACTGATCTGTATTATGGTCCCATGATATGTGTAGCAGCCTGTACATAATTGTTTTAAATTATTATAAATCTAAAGCAGAATCATTTGCTGTTACCTCCCCAGATAGTTTAAAATGTTAACTAGTTTACTTTGGTAGATAAAGCTAGCTAATAGTCATGTTACACTTATGTTCAATGCACAATTGAAGAAAACTAGACTCCAGTAAGATTGGAAAATGAAAGACTTCAGCTTGTAAGTGTAACAGTGATATGAAGATATTGCAAAAGGATATCACATCCTTCATAAAACTAGGTAAAACTATGAAACATGATTAAAATAAAATAGTAATGTAAATTATTTTTTAACACTGTTAAATATATTCACATGATCACTATAGCTATTCAAAATGGCCACTATTGCAATCACACTATATGTACAATAACAGATGCCACAACAGTTTGCAAGTTGAGTGTTCACAGACTAGCCAATTTTACCAGACATAAATAATCCTGTACCAATTTTAGATGTTTTAAAAAGGAATTAAATGTCCTAGATATTTTCATTCCTCTGCGAAATTAAAAAAAAAAAAATCCTAAAAAGTCAGTGCAAATTGAACTCGTCACCAAGATAGATTCCTAATAAGCTGAGGATAAACAAAGTTTAAGAGATTAAGGGAAGAAACTCATAACAATGTCAACTGCTTTTAGCAGGCGTTAGAAGAAGATTAGGAATCAGAAGTCCTGGATCCTATAGTAGTGCCTTCTGGGAGTAAGTATGCTGTGGCGGTGGTTGCGGTTGTGGTTGCTGAGGTGGTGGTTGCTGACTCCCTGCTGACTGTGGCAGAGTTGAAGATGCTAAGTTATAGTTTGGCACCTGGGACATATTTGTCCCAGTATTTGGATAAGCAGCGACATCAACAGCAGCAGGAGGTGGACTGTACACTGATGTCTGGTTGGAATAGGTACCTCCAGCAACAGAGCCAACCATTGTACTGAAAGAAAAGAAAATAAGAAATTGTTTCTTATTCTGTTTATATGGAAGAAAGTATTAAATTAATTAAGTTGTATTATATATTTAGGTGGCTAATACATGCAAGACTACCTCTTCAAAGTCTAAACAGCTTTATTAAAATTTAGAAAAAACATCAATTTCAAAGCAAAATTAGAAAATGCTGCTCACCTGCCAAGCTTTGAATTAATAAATTTAACTTCTGTGTGTAAATATATGCATTTATTTACCAGAATCCAAGTCCTTTTATATTCTATTAATGCAAGATTACTTGCTGTAACCAGAAATACAAAGTACGCAAAGTTTATATAAACTTTATCACCCTGACTTTGGTGCCTCATGGTCTTCCAATAAGCAACATATACAAAGGGAAATAAAATACTTTAAAACAGGCCAGATGAGTGGTGCAGGATCAGTCCATGGGCTGATGGACCAGCCCCACGCAGGCACCATGTGCATTTTGGACTGGCTGCAGCGAGCTCCACGTGCAGCATGCATCATGGACCAAACTGTGGGCCTCATGCTGTGTGCATGGCCAAACTAGCATGTATCATATGTGGATCAATTCCAGAACTCATGGGCAGTACCGTCTGCTGGATTTGGCCCACAGACAATCTCTCTGACACCCCACTTGCAAATATTTGCAAGAGTGAATGTTCTCCCCATAATTCCTCACATACAATACACCCCAGAATAGAATATACACAGTATTTTCTGAAAAGCAGAATTAAAACCCTAAACTTCACACTCTTCTTGAAAAGAATAAATTGCAGCTCAAGCCTTCTGCCATCTTCAAGCTAGTCTATGGTTCCTACATCAAAACTGCTCAATTAAATCACTAGTTACTTCCCCTGTAAAAAATAGTGTCAGTTCCCTTATATCTGGGTAGCTATAAAGACTTCAACAAGTCTGCAAAATCCACTCATCCAAGGTCCAACATGAGTCACATACACCAATCTGGTGATCATGTGCTATGTGCTAAAATCCACCAGAAACCAGTTAAAGCAGCAGACCTTGTGTATAATTAAGGAACATGATTTGGAAGCCACTATGAGCATGTGATTTCTTCACTTATGTAGAACAATATACAACACATGTGCTTTACAGTTAAAGAATGCTTGTGTTCAAAGCTCATACATTTACTGAACATACTTGTTATCAAAACATCAGTGAATACACATTTGATGCAACTACACACTATTTTACTCACAACTGAGTTAATAAAGTTTTCTGAAAATAAAATCTCCCCTTAACAAGTCTGCCCCAAAGCTTATTCCAAATAGGTAAACACTAAAATTACTTTGTGTAAGATGCTTGAGCAGGCTGACTAGGTAGTCCTGAGCTTGTAGACAGAGGAACTGTGCCTTGGTTAAGAGAAGGAAGTTGCTCTGGAGGAAGATTATAGCCTTGAATGTGGCTCATCTGTGCACTCCCCGTCACCAGATATGCATTACTTGCAGGTTGTCCTGGATAAGCCTAAAAAAAAATTAAACGGGCATAAATAAAATACAGGAATGTATTGGTCCTACTTAGCTAACTAAATGCCAGATTCAACACCTCAAGATATTTACGAAAGACTTCTTCACAAAAAGCACTATTGTAAACAATATTTTTGTGCTTTACCTTCAACTAAGCTAAAAAGTGGAAGTAGAAGGAATATTATAGTTCTACCATTATATGCCAGTACTAGTAAACCAACAACTTACTGACTAAATAACTTCTAGTCATTGAGTTTTATGAGCGTATTTCTAGTATCTTCCTCTGAATAAAAGATAAAATGGAATGTTAATTGCTTAACTAAAAACAGATAGATCAGGACATAGATTCTCTACCTGTGATCCATACGGAGTTGTCTAGACACATGAGCCTCTCTTTGCATGAAGCAACTAAATAAAAATTCAGATCCATATTTTCCTATTTTTAGCCAGTTAAACACTGTCAAGTAAGCAACTGCTGAAGCTGATTTAGGAAAATATGAACTTAAAAAAAAGTCTTCTGGAAAAACTCCAGCCAAAAATAAGGCAATTTTTTATTAAGAGAATAGTAGAATAAAAGCTTATTAGTGGCTGTATTAGATTCCTTACATCCTTAAAAATCAAGACTGGATAAATTCCTAGGAGCCATATTTAAATAAATTTATTGACCTCAATGCAGGAATCACTAGATGAAATTATATGGTCTCTAACTGATCAGAAAGTAAAACGAACTGATCCTAGGCCAACAATCTATGAATCTGAAACATTCTATTAACATGCACTCTTCATTATGAGAGGCATTGAAGGAAAAGTTTCCTAGCTTCTCAGGCCTTCCCTTCAGTTTCTCTTTAAAAACTCCCTTGTTTCTTCAAAGGAGACACTTGCTGCTTCTTATGTAGAATTGCTAGTTATGGTGTGTTCTGAACCTGATTCTACCTAAGTGCCGAGACCAAGGATTTTTAATGGTTGGTTACAATGTCTGTATGTGAAAAACTAGGCAACCTCAGTGTGAGAAGACACTGGAGACAGGTGGATACTGATGCTGCCTGTAATGTTACACAAACTGCTGAGGAGGGAAATGTAGTTATTTTTTTAGTTGGCTCAAATTTTCAAGCATCTGAAAGCAAAAATACAGTTTAATTTTAGGAAGGTCCATAAATGGCTCAAAACAAAAGAAGACAATAATGGGGACACACACACACACACACACACACACACATACACATACACATACACACACACAACGGGACACAGGACGGGACGGGACAGAGCAAACATGACAGAAATCTTCAAATATGTGAAGGGTTGTCAAAAAGAAAAAGGAAAACAACTTTTCTCCCTTGCTACAGGGGGCAGGACACAATAACGGCTTGAAGTTATAGATGTAGCAAAGTAGGCTGCTAAACCCACCTTAAGGATGGACCATTCATAGGGACCTCTTCCCACTTTAGGAACTTTATCCATAAGCAGTAACATATGCTCACATCTCGTGTCTTTTTAAAAAGAAATACAGTAAAAGCTCTGTTATCTGGCATCCCCCAGGAATGGGGGATGCTGGATAACAAAATATGCCAGTTAATTGAGCAGTCCTGGTGGCCGCTTCTCCCGCCGTGTCTAGGGCATCCCTCCGCCCCTCCTGCGGCATCGCCGCCAGTCCCACAGTCCCCGCAGGACAGGGAGGCAGGCCCACGCAGCCTGTTATGCCCCCGGGCCATGTTGCGGGCTCGACAGCGCAAGCTGCTTTGCCCCTGGCCGTGGGGGCTCAGAGAAACTGGAAGTGCTGCAGTGGGCACTTCCGGTTTCACTTTATCTTACAAGCCGACATTCCAGTTAGTAGAGCATACCGGCTTGCAAGATGCCCGATAGTACAGCTTTTACTGTACATACCTGAGAACCAGAAACACCAGATGGCTGTACATAGTATTGTTGGTTTTGTAGTTTTGCATACATGGAATACATTGGGTCTTCATTCATCAACTTAGTGTACAACGAAAGGGCCTCCATGACCTTAACATTGAGCTCCGATAGTTCTGAATGTTTCCTGGAAAATATATGATATAGTTTACCCCAAATTTTAGAGACATATAATACTGAACAAGAGAATGCAGTGAATTTACACATCATGATACACGACGGACAACTAGTCTTACAGGATATAGCATGATGCCTACATTCAACAGTCAAGTGTTGCAACTTTCACCAGCAGTCTCAGTGAAAAATAGTTCATCTGACAAGGAAGATATTTCTTTTGTTAAGACTAAGTAGAGGAAGTGGATAGGACTGTTCAGCTTTTTAAAGCCAGTCCCATTAAAACACCTTTGGGGAATTCTAGTTATTTTAAAGTACACAGTTGAATCTACTCCCCTGAAACACTATATGTAGGTGTAGCATGTTAGCAACAATTCACACTTCTGCTGTTATTTCTGAGTGAGATTTAAAAGCAAGCCAGGAAAATGTACGCATTCTTTTACCTGTCAATATCTTCCAGCTTCTCGTCAATAAGAGGACCCATTTGGTGGCATGTTGCTAGAATAGAACAAGGTTTACAAATTACATCAGAGTAATTAAGTACCATTTATCTGAAAGTGAGAATGCAAACATGGTTGTAAATACTTAAAAGACACATGATATATCTAAGTGTCAACAGAAGTTTCTCAGATTTTATTAAATGTTAAACTACAGAAAATGTTGTGTCATTAAGATCTAGAAGCCTCTACTATGGAATGTCTCGTAACAGCATTGGACTGAGCTCCTTATTGCCCTATTTCTAAGATTGGGGCATTCTTCAGATGTGCAGCACAGGCTAACAGAAGTCTAGAGGAATAAGTTCAGCTAGGTGGACTTAGCTTTGCTAATGCACATCATATCATGCCACGCTTGGAATTAATCCCAATTTCACCTATTAGATGCCAAGGCACCTTACTCTACCACCTGCTTCAAGTCCCTGACAAAAGAATTAACATGAAAGGTTACTGCTCACTGGTTTCAACCTTAAAGCTAAGTTAATGGTATGCTACAAAACAGGTACAGCCTTCCAGGAAAGAAAAGTATGATGCTTATATCCCTTTAGGTACCTAATAGGTGGAATAGGGCCTTTGGAGTCTAAACAGACTTCAAGAGGAAATTTTCCAACCTGTAAGTTTTTCTGCAAAATGCCACAGTTCAATCTACCTACATTTCTGAATAACTGTGTCCGATCAATTAAAAAAGACAGAACCAAGATTCCAAGATTTGGCAAATCTTGGTGAAGAAAATTGGGTGATGAATAAATTGGTTCATGTCAGAAACACCTTGGCAAACACATAGTATAACAGTAACTTTCTCTCCATGAAGCACTGGTTAAGGATATGAGGGCTTAAGTCTCTCTCGCACTACAAGCTGATGTAATAACCAAATAAAGCCCTCCTCTGTCTCCTTCCCTTCCTGCACCCTTCCCTCTCCTCCTCTCCCCACTCCCATGGCTCCACACAGCTGGATCAAGACTGGACTATCATCCACCCCGCTCTACGCATCTGGATGGATCCCTGCTGGATTAGGGCTGTGCGAAATTTTTCACCGGCTGCTTCGTTTTGACATTGTTTCGACTCATTTTTAGGTCAAAACAGCAAAATCAAAATGAAACAAAGGGCGTCAAAACAGCCTCAAAACAAAACTAAGCTAGTCAAAACGTTTCGAAAGTCAAAATATTTCGACCATAGCACTGGGGATGTGAAATCAGTCCAGCTGGGCTGACTTGCCATCCCCGGTGCAAGATCCGGCAGGGAACGGGAAGTCAGCCCGGCTGGGCTGACTTGCCATCCCCACGAGTCCAGCTGGGCTGACTCCCTGCTCCCAGCGCGATCTAGCAAAACATTGAAACAGCCTTACTATTTCAACGAAGCAAGACAGAACAGCTGTTTTGAATCAAAATGAAATTTGATACGAAATGCTGTTCCATCCAAACCTTGACACTCAAGGCGAAACAGAACAGTGCCATTTCACACGGCCCTACAAGGTATGTCCCTATGCCAGATTGGGTCCACCAGCCACATCTAGTCCACAGAGAGACCAGGCAGTACCCAGCTAGCCTGCTGTGCAAAAAAGGTTGAGCACCACTGTACTAGATGATTTGGTGTTTTCTCTGAATCTCTTTGGACAATTCATCAGCTCTGACTGTTTTGACTACAGTAATACCTCGGTTAACAAAATAGCTGCAAAGTACCTATTAGGTACCTAAAGGGATATAAGCGTCATACTTTTCTTTCCCGGAAGGCTGTTAATAGTTTTTTTATAGCTTACCATCACCCTAAAACAGTGACCAGTAACCTTTCATGTTAACTCTTTTTGTCAGGGACTTGAAGCAGGTGGTAGAGTTACGTGCCTTGGCATCTAACAGGTGAAATTAAGATTAGTCCCAAGTGTGGAACAATAAGATGGGCCTGCTCCAAACCATCTGCCCAGTTCTGACTCGCCACACAGGGTTTGGGATTTTGGCAGCAGGGAGGACAAGCAGCAAGATTAAATGCCAGTACTCTCCTGCTGCCAGATTTCCAGACCCTTCAGGAGCCCCATGGGCTGTATTTGGCCCATTAACCAGAGGCTCAGCACCATGACCTAGTATCCTACATCTCTTCCACAGGGCTTTAAATTTCAGAGAGTTATCTCTGTGCTAAACCCAGTAACTGTGAGAAAGACATAAACCATAATTTAAAGACCTCTCCCTCTCCCTTCCAACGTGGCCCTATAAAACCTGGCTATTTAGTTAACTTTATAGCTGAAGAAGTCTAATTTCTTCATGTCCTCTTGTGCTATGAATTATAAGGTGCATATGAATTATGTTCCTGCAGGGCTGCCGCAAATACAGCTTGGCACTTGTAGAAATAAAAATATTCATGTCAGCTTGCTTTGATGTGGCTTGGATAGATTCTAATGCGTGTCATGGGTCTTCTGCAGATTCTAAAAGGGTCTCATTTATATTTATGGGGAGCCTGTTGTGTGTGGAAGGGTAGAAGCATCCACAACCTTGTAACAGTGATTCTTAAACAGATGCCATCATACTCAAGGCTCCTGTGAGGTTCTTTTATAAGTGCTGTTGAGTGCCATGTAATATTAGTAGTTAGGTGAGCAAACACATACATGATTCACAAGATGCACCAGAGATTTTAGTAGTAATGTACAGCGTCAAAAGCATTTTGACCACCTATGGTCATAGAAAATTAGGGTTGGGAGGGACCTCAGGAGGTCATCTATTCCAACCCACTGCTCAAACCAGGACCAGCCCCAACTAGATCAGCCCAGCCAAGGCTTTGTCCAGTGAGGTCTTAAAAACCTCCAAGGACAGAGATTCCACAAGCTTTCTGGGTAATCTGTTCCAATACTACACCATCCTCCTAGTGAGAAAGCTTTTCTTAATATCCAACCTAAACCTCCCTTGCTGCAACTTGAGACCATTGCTTCTTGTTCTGTCATCTGCCACCACTGAGAACAGTCTAGCTCCACTCTCTGTGGAACCACCCTATGGGTAGTTAAAGGCTACTATCAAATCCCCTCTCAGTCTTCTCTTCTGCAGACTAAATAAGCCTAGTTCCCTCAGCCTCTCCTCACAAGTCATGTGCCCCAGCCTGTTAACCATTTTTGTTGCCCTCAGCTGGACTCTCTTTTATCCACATCCTTTCTGTAATAGGGGGCCCAAAACTAGACACAGTACTCCAGATGTGGCCTCACCAGTACTGAATAGAGGGGAAGAATCACTTCCCTCAGTCTGCTGGCAACACATCTACCAACACAGCCCAGTATGCCATTAGCCTTCTTGGCAACAACAGCATGCTGTTGGTTCATATTCAGCTTATTCACTGTAACCCCCAGTCCTTTTCTGAAGAGCTGCTGCTTAGTCAGTCAGTCCCCAGCCTGTACCGATGCATGGTCCTAGTTCTTCACAACAAAAAAATAGCTTTTATTTTTCCCTCGTCAAACAAATGGAAGCTAAGAGCTTGCATTTTGTAAGGGGTGTTTGGAATCTAACAATGCAGAGAACCCCTGCCTTACAGATGAATGAGGTTTATCCTAAACCACTTCCAATGGTATATCTAAGGTTTCTGCCATAGGAATGAGATCTTTATTGAGCATATATAGAAGTTTATTGCTTCCTCTGGGGAAGATTAGGTAACTGACCTGGGGCTGTGCGAAACAGCACCATTTTGTTTCAACTTCATTTCATTGTTTCGATGGAACAGTGTTTCATTTTGAAAGCACTGTTCCGTCTAGTTTCATTGAAACTGTTTCACTGTTTCGACCATAAGCTATAAAGGGGAAACACGAAACTGCCTATAACTTGGTCATTTTTTGGCAGATATGGATGAAAAGAGCAGGGATAGTAGCCCCTTCTGAGGGCATGAAGCCCGCCACGTTTCAAATAGATGGGTGTAGGGCTTTCTGGAAAAATGCACCTCAAAGTCTTGAAAGCAAAACCCACATCACTTGTAAGTATGAAGGTGCAGGGGGGTGAAAACAGCAAGCATGGTAGGCCCTGCTGAGGCCATGAAGTCTGCCAGCTTTCTAGGGGATTTCTACAAGTGTTTCTGGGAAATTGCACCTCAAGCTCCTGACAAGCAAAACTTGTGACATGTGTGACTGTGTCTGTGTCAAGATACGCCCTCACTGGTGCTGGGGCCTCTACATGACACAGTAGTGTGCCCCAATGAGGTCTCCTCCTCCCCTACAGCCTCAGTCTGATTCACCACTTTAAATGACAACAGGTAAAATAATAACTTAGTGAGCAGCAGCACAGTAGCACCAGCAGCATCTCAGGTAGCCAAACTGTGACAGAGTCCTTCTTTCCTCTCCTGCAGGAGCTTCTTCTCCAGCACGGGTTAAGGCATGCCTTCGCTGTGTCCTTCCCCACTCTTCCCCCTCCCCTCTCCTTACTTTCCATTTCCCTGCAGGCAAGCCCAGCTTCAGCTTCAAAACTCGAAATGTTTCGACTGCCCTCATTTTGTTTCAGGGCTGTTTCTAAGCCCTTCATTTCGATTTCACTGTTTCAAGCTCAAAATAAGTTGAAACAGCATTGAAACAAAACAGCCAGCAAAATTTCACACAGTCCTAGTAACTATACCAAAGGACCAGCTGTTCTTCCCCTTTGCAGCTATAATGTGAGACGCTGGTTAACCTGGCTGGAATAATCTGTAATGTCTCTTTAGATGGGGGGTAGGAAGTACGATCTAACCTCAGAACCAGTATCTGAAGTAAAAGTTCTAAAATATGGCTGTATACAACAGGGTATATCAGATGGATAAACATTAAATGGTATTCCAGGTCTCCATCCCCACCACAGCTCTCACCTCTAGAACACCCTGAGATTTTCTGCATCTTAGCCCTCCTCATACTACCATTCATCTCTAAAAACCCCTTTATGACACCTTTCTCCTAAAGGCAAGCGTGTCTTCTCTTCCAGGTTGGCTGATCTCATACGGCGAGCTTTAAACTAGGAGGGGGCTGCAGGAAGACGTGGAGACACCACCCGAGCAAGACAGGTGACACATGCAAGGAGTGCCCAGGTAAGAAACAGGGGTCCAGAAAGTCTTCCTAATCGGGGGGTGGCACGCGCAGCTATGCAAGGCCTTAAATGCCTATATACCAATGCTCATAGTATGGGGAACAAACAGGAGGAACTCGCCCTCAGAATAGCCAGTTCAAACCCAGACATAGCAGGGCTTACAGAAACGTGGTGGGATTCATCCCATGACTGGGCAGTTAGCATTAGGGGCTACAGGCGGGACAGAGAAGGAAGGAAGGAAGGGAGGGGTGTGGCGCTCTATGTCAAAGAGCAATACACATCCTCTGACAGCAAAATGGGGTCATAGGAGGAGCAAGCTGAAGTGCTCTGGGTCAAGATACAAGGGGGTCGTGGGGAGAGGGATTTAACAGTGGGGGTCTACTACAGACCCCCCAACTAAGGGGAAGAGCTGGACCGGGAATTTTCGGGCCAGTTTGCAGAGGCACTTAAGGCAAGGGATGTAGTTGTCATGGGTGATCTAAATTACCCAGACATCTGCTGGGAGGAGCAGTCAGCCAGGTCAGACCGTTCCAGGAGGCTCCTGGCCGAGATACAGGACCTCTACTTAACCCAGGAGGTGCAGTCCCACCAAAGGAAATGCCCTGTTGGAACTGGTCCTGGCCACAGGCGATGATCTGGTAGGAGGGCTCCAGGTCCTTGACCACCTGGGTGAAAGCGATCATCGCTTGTCGGAATTCATCATCCAGCGCAGGGTGTCAAGGGCCTGCAGCAAGGCGGTAGCCCTAGACTTCAAGAGGG